CGCGGGGGCCAGATCCAGGGGCAGCCAGGGTTCCCGAGGGGCCAAGTGGGGTGGGCGATGGGGGCGCCGCCGTCCACTGCAGTGGGGGCGCATGGGGCAGAAGAGAGGGGGTTCCCAGGCCAGCACTTTAGGGGTTCTTAGTAGGAGAAGCTTGCGGGGGTTCGGACCAGGGTCTCTCCCCTCCAGCACCTTGGGGCGGGGGTGGGGATGGGAGTGGGGGGCTCTGTGGCTGGGTCCCCAGCTTGCCCGGTCAGGTAGCCGGCTAGGCTGGGAAGGGAGTAGGGGTGGAGAGAAGAAAGAATCTAGCAGCCCTAGTGGCGTTTGCGTAATAAAGGGGAGGTTAGTTGTTGGGATTTGGGGTAAGCGTGCTCGGTGGTGGGAGGGTGGGGGAGGGGGAGAGCCTTGCAGTTTATCCAAGGCAACGCCAAAAAAACAAAAAGCCATATAAAGATGGAGGAGGGTTGCTGAGGGGTCACGTTATTGGAGCACATTTTTTTTCCCTCCATGGGTGCCTAAAATTTGTCTTCTTCCTCCCCGCCTCCTCCTTTTTTCAGCTGCCTTGAAACTTAGGTGGAGAGTTTAAGAGGTTTAGTGAGCTTGGGCGGTAGGAGAGAGGCATGAGGTCTCCTTGGAGAGGTTTTGCTGGTCAGGTTTGATCTCTTCCCACCAGCACATTAATAATCCTGCTAATATTAGCATCCCCTGCTCTGGCAGAATCCAGACCACAGCCCTCATCCTCCACCCTTCCTCCCCCAGGAGCTGGCCACACACACACACACACACACACACACACACACACGGAGAGGCTTTCTGCCCCTTCCAGAGATGGGCACTTTTGATAAGGTGGGAAAGGGGCCTTGTGGCTCCGGGGCACCTTGTAAAGCATGCGTTCAGAAAGTCTCTCTCCCCCGCCCCCCGCCCCCCCATACTCAGGATTTTGAGAAATTCGTCCTGACCTGTTGCCCCCTTTTTACGAAAACACCGCACCACCGATTTTTCAACGTGACTCTTGTTAAACTAAAAAAAGACAGCCCAGGGAGGGAGAGTGTCTTCGTTCCTTTTTCAGTGTCTCTGCCTTCCCTGCATAAGTGAAAGATTTTTTTTTCTTTTGGCCAAGAACTTATTAAAGTCTATTTGTAAAAGAAACCAGACACATCTGCGCCCTCCCAGATCGGCAGGGAGATTATGGGGGCTGCATAATCGGCCCTCTGTCTGCCGCGGCCCCGACCGCTCGCTACTGAATGGAAGGAGCACAGTTTGCTTGTGGGACTTTGAACTTTGGAGACCTCGGTTAGCATCTTCCCAGCTCTTGGGTCCGGCCTCCGTGGGCTCCCGGACGGACGCTGACAGGGAAGGGGTGGCCACGGTCACCCCAGAAACGCACGTGAGCACAAACGGAGGGCGGGCGTAAAAACAAGTCCGGGTGCAGCTACAGGGCGAGGTGCAGGGCGCCCAGGAGGGAACCGCGCTGTCCAACGCGCTTTCCACGAGCCCTGGAGAAGCTGCGTGAACCGCCTAGGGAATTCTTCAGAGACCGACCACCTGGCCTTTCCCACCTTTGGGGGAGGGGCACGTGTCTCCGGGTCTAGCGAAGCCAAGGTGGTGGGTAGGATGGGGAACCCGAGGGAAGCCTGCCTGGGAAGAAACCCCAGGACTGCAGTTGAGGGTTCTGCAAAAGCGCCATTGTCTGCGGACAAGCTCTAACCGGTTCTGTTTTGCTTATTTAGAGAAAGAAGTGGCCGAGCCCGAGGTGAGGATGGTGAATGGCAAACCAAAGAAAGTTCGTAAACCCAGGACTATTTATTCCAGCTTTCAGCTGGCTGCGTTACAGAGAAGGTTTCAGAAGACTCAGTACCTCGCCCTGCCCGAACGCGCCGAGCTGGCTGCCTCGCTGGGACTGACGCAAACGCAGGTAAATTCCGGCCGCGGCCAGGCCAGGCCAGGGCCCCGCCTTGGCTGCGTGC